GATGTCATTTGTTTATGTGAAATAAAAAAACCTGTGAAATAACTAAATTTTATTCGTGGGTTTTAAAAGAATTCGTCCAATCTGAGCGTCAAGTGATTCCTGCGTAAGACACTTTTCAAATTAATGATCTAAAATCGGAGACATGCATCCGCCTGTAAATTCTTAAAAAGGCATGTTTCACGGATTCGGCAAGCCGATCCCAAGCTTGACTATTTACAATATTTACATTTAAAAATCAACGGAATATTACTTGATGAGTAACCAAACATACATTTCTTTCCATATGAAGTTTATTACCAAGTACGGCAAATTTAAATTAGCCGATTCTTCTTAAGGATAGGTGATTGGTCGTGAACTGTACCTTGCGAGCTAAAACTGTAATTTATTAATAACTGTTATTTCGGGATGGATAAGTACTTTAGTAGTAAAGTGAAGTGAATAGTGATATTGAGTGCACGAACTAGCTTTTCTTTCTGTGATTTATTTTTATTTTCTAAAGTAATACTGTGATGTGTTACATCTGCTGTAAATATTTAAAGGGTAAAGGGTTTTTTGATATATTAGAAGTTTTTTAAATTAAAGTGTAAACAAATTCAGGTAAATTAAACTAAAAAAAGCAAGCTATGGGAGAAACTGTAAGTATTGATAAATCTGATATTGTAAATTATATTTTGCAAAATGAGTTTTTATCTATTCCATACGAAGAACAAATTGTTATTAAAAATAAGAGGCGTCCTTTGTCTAAAATTTCCCGGCTTATAAATATTAGTGCGGGGGGGGGTAAGGGAAATAATAGATCATTTTCAGATAATTGGTACATCAAGTACTCATGGCTTACCGGGAGTGAAATTAAAAACAAAATTATCTGTTGGCATTGCATTTTATTTTCGACAAATAGTGGCAAACATCAAAATCCTTGGTGTGAATCTGGTTACGATAATTTAAAGAAATTATTTAGGACTTTATATAAATACGATATTTCGAAAGATCGTACATACAGCCAGATTAAATTACTTTTTTTTTTTTAATTGAGTTTATTGCGTCGACAACCAATGGTCATTGGCATGGTACAGTGAATTTTTACAGTCAGGTACCTAGTGTAGAGTGTAGTGTGTGTGTAGAGTAATTGTCTTGTTACTTAGCAAAGTCGACGTCATTTGTCTTTGCTAAAAGACGCTAATTGTCTTATGTTTCTCTGTATCTCTCTCACCTCCAGTGAGTACAATGTCAATTGTACTCACTGGAGGGACCGTCTGCGGTCCCTCCAGTGAGTACCGATCGCACAAGGATAGAAATTATTTTCATTCATTAATTTTTAATCAACGAAAATTTCTCCAACCAGGTGAGATTCGAACTCACGACCTTTAGGTTCAAAGGTAGGCGCTCTTACCACTGAGCCACAGAGGGTGTTACATTTATTTGGAAAACAAAATATCTATGTTTCATTAGATAATGCCCAACGTGAAAATGCTATTAAACATAAGGAAGAAAAAAATCACGCAGTTTTACGTTGTTTAATTGATATTGTAATTTTTTTAAGTTGTCAAGAATTATCTTTAAGAAGGATAGGATCCTCCCGTTGTCAGGAGAACTAATAAAAATGTTTAAGAAAAACGATTTGGAATTTTGTAATTTACTTTCTGATTCGAAGACATTTAGCGGTGTATCTAAAACAATCCAGAATGAATTAATAGAATCAATTAGTTACATTTTGAGTAACGTTATTGAGTCTGAGATTCAGGAAACCATTTGCTTTTCACTAGAAGTAGATGAAACTACCGACATATCATCTCATTCACAATTATTATCAATTGTTGTTCGATACGCGTTACGTGGTAATATTTATGAAAGATTTTTAGGTTTTAAAAACGTGAGTGAAAGACATAATGAGAATATATTTTTGGTGTTTTAAAGGACAGATTAAAATTTTTTGATATCAAGAATAAATTGGTAGGGCAAACTTATGACGGCGCTTCCGTGATGTCTGATGAATTGAATGGTCTCTAGACAAAATTTAAAACTATTGCACCGCAGGCTTTATTTACTCACTGTCATGCGCATAGAATGAATTTAGTTTTGCAGGAAACATGTAACAAAATTAAATAATGTCGTCTTTCCTTGCCAGTTTAAGCGGATTTGCTTCATTTTTCTCAAGCTCGCCCAAACGGACTAATGTTTTAGAACGATTTGTTTCGAAAAAAATGCCAACAGTTTGTCAGATGCGACGGAATTTTAAATCTCGGTTAGTTTTCACTGTAGCAGATTTTCGTGAACAGCTTTTGGAAGTTCTTGAGTTTATTATTGAATGCGACGATTTTGAAAGTGATGATATCTCGATCCGTAAAGCAATCGGTTTGAAAACTTCATTTCTTTTAAATATTTTTAAGAAAGTGTTTACCCAAACCGATTTGATATTCAATGTTGTTCATTGCAAAAATAGAATAACAAAACTGGTGCAAAATCTCTGAGATTTTCGTAATGATAGTAATTTCCAGTATATACGCAGTGACGTTTTGGATTCGCTTGATATTTCCGAAACTTCCCCAAAAAAAAAAAACAAAGGCATGACACAGAAACAGATCTCGAAAAATGAGGATATTTTGAAATTTTGAATACTATTATTATGCAAATAGATACTCGTTTTTCGAATTTTGAAGATTTGCAAATTTTTGACCTCTTTGAAAATTAAACATTTAAAAGTTACGCCAAATAATTTCCAAGATATTTATTAGACAGGTTAATTAAAAATTATCCATCATTCCTTAATAAAATAAAATTAAAAAATGAATTCAAAGTTAAATTAATAAATTATTGTCATTAATTATCTCATTACCACCAAGATTTCTCTTCATACGTCAAATAACTGAGATATCTCTTGTCTCAAAAGAATCAAAACGTATTGTCGAAACCCCATGAAACAAGAGGGAATGTCAAGCTTGTCTCAAATGTCAATAGAAAAAAAACTTTTAAAATCTCTCCAAAACTCTAATAAATTTTACGATGACGTTATTACCCATTTTGCTAATTCCAAACAACGTAGACTAGAGTTAATTTATAAACATGTTTAGGTTCTAAATTTATAGGAAAAAACAAAAATCACCTATGATGATTGAAGTCTTTATTAGACGGTATACCTATCTGAAGAGACAAAAAATACCTTGCCGACCTTGTCTCTCAAGCTACGAGCAGCCACTGCAAGCAACTAAGGTCCATTCGCTCAACTCTGGCATATTTTGACAGATTCGTAGCCGGAAACCTACAACACTCTTAACAGCTTAAATAATTTTTATTACAGCTTTTATTACAGACTTATTTTATGGAAAAAAGAAGAATTATTACAAATAGTGGAAGTGTATAGTAAACCCATAAAATTTTGGGTAGATAATTTAAAAAGTATATTTCAGGATGAATTGTTGGAAAATTTGCTAATATTTGCTTTGTTTATTATAGGTTTATGTATTTGCTTTGCTAAATCCTTTTTTATAGGGAAGTATAGTATACTTATTTTGTAAGACAATAAAACCACAGTTTGTGTTGTTTCCATCCTATAAAAACGTCAACTACAATTAAGTATGCCCTATGATTGACTGGTGCCAGTTAAATTTTGTGGAATTTATTTCCTCAAAATATTTTTATTTTGAACACTAAATAGTTTTATTATTTGTTGTTAAATCATGTGGTGTAAATAAATAAATATTAATTGTTGGTAATTCGTAAAGTTATGTTTTATTGACGTTAAGAGCACGCGTGCTTGGTTGTATAGTAATTTCCAGCCACTTAAAGTGTGTCAACAAATAAGTAACTTCGCAAAAAAATAATTACTAAATTCACTAGACAGTTCGGACTGGTAATAGCGAACCGACTATACAAAAAATCTCACAGCTATACGAGAAAAACCTACGCTTTAAGCTGAAGTTAAGGTTAAAGAGACAAAAATTTGAAAAGGAGCAAGGGGTCAAAGTAAGAGCACTAAAAAAATAACTAAACAAAAACTTTAGGATTTGAGAAGATCTTCAAGTTGGGGGTGAGGGAGCAATGACGTTATACTACCATCGCCAGAGTCTCAATATGCTCCTAATAATGAAATGCAAGTAGAGACAGATACTGAAAATGTGAATCAGAAGCAGAGGGTGACGAGTTTGAATTGAGTGTGCAAGATTGGGTAATTGTATGCTTTGTCTCCGAAATAAACTTAGTCCGTCACTTTAAGTGCCCGTAAAAAGGAGACATGGGTGAAGTCGCACGTGACCAAATTTTAAAAAAGTTACAGAGCCCGACTTTTATAGGAGGTACAATAAGCGCATAGAATGTTTTGTCTTTCCTAAATCACTGAGGACGTTCAATATTCAACTTTTTTTCACTTTCATAACATTTTGATTATAATTTTCTGCCAGAAAGTGTTTATTTATATTTTTAATAATATTATATGACTAACAAGTCATGACTCAGTAAAGTTAGTTTTCAGAATACAATTTTTGGTTTTATTTTAATATCGTAAATCTGGGAAGGTATAATCAAGTCACCCATACACAAGGATCATGTGTCAAGTACGGGGAGACATGATTAGTTTCTCCCTATTATTAGATTGTACAAAAACTTATTATTTATTAGCAGTATACTTTTCGGGTGTATATGTATAATACCCAAAACTTTGATAAATCTGTAATGTTCCACTAAATTATTCATGCTAAGGTTTTAAATTGGTCGAAAAAAAGGTTATCTGTGCTTGAAAACATTAAAAGTTAGAAAAAAACAAAGACAAACGAAGAAAAGCTAAAGTAGGAGGAAAAAAGCCGATATAAAAAAAGACGAAATATAAATTACAATAGGCTAGTCACTTAGCAAGAAAAAATTTTAATAAAGATTGTAAACAGGAGACGAAAGGCTAACAAGAGCGAGGCAAGAATGATCTCTTCCAGATGGATCAATGTTCTGCAGAGGATAACAGAAAGCTAGATTTTACAAACTTGGTTAATATTTAAATTAACTGTTTTACTTACTACTGTTCCTGTAGGTGTTACAATTCTAGGGTCTATAGTACCGCTGCCACTTGTAGGACAAGTTGTTCCTGTTGGAAGACATAGGTAATACTGTCCGTTTAACACTCCAGATGTAGTCTGGGCTTTTATTGTACCTATTTTAAGACATAACATATGTTAGATTATTGTTTATTAATTATTATATCCTATTTATAAGAAAATAAATTTTTATCATTTCTCTTTGAAAGTATGTCTTTGTTTACGCTATATGACATGTTTCGTCTTTATTTAGAACTTATCACGGGGTACTAAAGCCAAATATTAACCCAAAAAAAACTGCAAAGCCAGTGAGCTAATTTCCCACTTGATAGAGTATTGTTGCTATGTAGTCCTATCTACTTATTTGGTAGTGCTATAACACCAAATAGATACGACTCAGGATCCCTACTCTACTATGTAGAATCCGCTGAAATATTTAAAAATATCTCTATCTTCCACAAACAAACTTATGTATTTCTGTTCTATAGAAGACGATATATTATTATTAATATTAAGAAGATCTTTCCACATACATACAAAAAATAAATTAAAACTTAAAGTTAAGTTGAAAGGAAATAAAACACGTAGGGACAAAACGAAACATGAAAGTCAAGAAAGAGGTTCTAAAAGATAAAAGAAATTTTAGTACTCATTCACAAGAGAATACGCGAAATACCTGCAGAATCAAGGTACCAAACTTAAAAGTATCTACAGAAAGTTCAAATATCACAACAATAAGAAACATAGCGAACTGACAACGAGCAAGAACGAACTTAGTAAAGCCATCGAGAAATTCTACGTGTAGTTATTTTCCTCTACTAAAAAGAAGAAAAAATCACAGGAAAGATAATATATCTACGTGGGATCAGAAGACTTTTTAGAAATTAAAATAAATGGAATAGAATGCGGAACACAGGGCTGAATAGACGATCGGGGCAGATCGAGATTTTTATTTTTTGCACTTTTAATGTGCTGCCATCTACGCTGTTTGACAGTAAGCTACTCATCTATAAATAGTTCTGTAAGTAGTAGTCGTGCTTTTTACTGTGAAGCGAATGTGGTACTTATAGTGTATTTGTAAATTTCAACTGTTTTGTTGCATTATCTATTTCAGATCTGAAGGTAACTTCTTAAATTTTATTTAGCGTTAAGATCTATTGAAACAGATGTTGTAGCTTTTCATAATTACTCATAGATCTTTATAATAATGGTCTATATCCTCACAAAATTTTGAAATTAAAAATGATGAACTTTCTGGCATAATGATACGGAACAGAACAGAAATACGGAGAGGGAGACAGGGCGAGACGCGTCTCATCTCGCGCTGTTTTTTATGTTTTTTTTTTGTCGCTATAAAGGAAACTACCTTTAAGTTTTCTTATAACAGATGGTTCGCAACTATGTTTTATAGACGAAGAGAAAAAGTTGATCTGTGGATTCTATGAAACAGGCAATAAACGCAGAAATTGACAATAAAACAGGTTAAGATGAAGCCTCAGATTAATTTCTTTACCTTCTTGACTGACTTTACAACTTGTGGTGAGTCTTCACCGCATCTACTATGGCTCTCCATCTTCTACCACGTTGCGTTTCTATTTTCCAGTATTGTACTATAATCCTAGATAAATTGGCTTCAACATAATCCTTTCATATTTTTCTGGGACGGCCTACTGATCTTCTATTCTCTCGGTATCCCAAAAACACTGTCTTTAGTATTTTGTCTTCCTCTGATCTTACTACATGACCTGCTTTATTTTATCCGGTTAGCATTTATATGTCTGATGATGTTTTCAGTACCATACAGAGTCATCAATTGATCATTGCGGCGGCGTCTACACTCTCTTTGCAAGTCATTTCTTTGAGGTCTAAATATCATTTGAAAACTTTTTTACGTATACCAGCAGCTTATTTATTTCCCGCTGATATGGAATCCATGTTTTACTTCCATATGTAACAACTGGGCGAATAATTGACTTCTATAATCATAATTTAGATTTTTTTGGCAGCTTAGATGATAGGGAGTATAATTCTCTTTTCCTCGCAATTATCTTTATTGAGACATCTTTTTCAATGTGATTGTCATCTGAGATTACCATCCCCAGATATCTTACTACTTCGAAATGTTGGTCATTAATAGTTATGTTTTGCCTCAGTATGGTCTTGGGCTTTTGGTTACTAGCATGTATTTTATTTTCTCTTCATTTATTTGAATACCTCATCTAACTGGTTCCAACTCAAGTTGTCAAAACACCTCTCTAGTCTCTTGCAGAATGAGTGAATGCATCTAGATCATCAGCAAAGGCCAACATTTGTTTTGATCCTCGATTTGAAAATTTCCTGTCAGCTCGGACAATATTTTACTTATTGCATATTCTAAGGCCAAATTGAATAGCAACGGTTATAAGGGACCTCCTTGTTTAAACACTGATGTTATAGTAATGGCATTGATGTTCTGTTTTCTACCTTTACCTGCGCACATGAGTCTGTCACATTAATTTGAGTTATCTTCACCAATTTTCTTACTATTCCCATTTCTAGCATTGCTAGCCATAGTTTACTTATTTTTATTAAATCATATGTTTGCTGGAAATCTGGAAAGCTAGAAACGAAAATTTGAGTATATCTCGGTTGAATTCCTAGTTTTTTTTCTATTATTTGTAGGATTGTAAATATTTGATCTATTGTTGACCTTCCAACATGAAAGCCGCATTGGTAGTCGCCTAGAATATCTTCTGAATACGGAGTAAGTCTCTATAGAAAGAGAATTGATAGATCTTTATATGAGGTGGTCATAAGCGATATGCCTTTATAGTTTCGAAATTGCCCCTTCTCATGTATGGGTATTATAATGCTTCATTTCATTTCCTGGGCATTTTCTGTTGTCGTACTCAGAATAATGTCTTACAATTTTTGATGTAATACATTTCCTCCTTGTTTATCAATTCTAAATGTATATCATCATTTCTCGGGCTTTTTGATCTTAAAGAAATTATATCACATTTTTTACTTCTTGAAGTGTTGATTCTGATATTTTCATATCTGCAGAATGAAATGTTATATCTGCTTCCTCCATCTTACTTACAATATTTAGTAAATTCCGAAACTATTTTTTACATCATTCTGACTATTTCTGTTTCTATCATTATTACCTCATCTGCTTTATTTCCCATACTTTATGTTACCCCAATAGTTCGACCTTGTCTGACTGTTTTCACTTGCTTAAATAGTTTTTGTTACCTCATTTCTTCAGCCACGTATGTATATTTCTTGTATTTGCTGTTCTATGTAGCTCCTCATTTTAGTTCTGAGTAATCGACGTGTCTTATTCTGCGAAAATCTGCTTTGTTCTCATCTGTAGGGTTTTGTAGCATTTTTAATCTTTCTTAGTTTTTATTTTCAACATTTACTCGCTTTGTTTGTCAAAACTATTTCTGTTTTTGACAAGTTCCCTTTTTCCCAATGGATTCCTTCGCTGCTTGTTTTATAACTGGTGCCACTTGCTGACATGCTTATGATAACTCTACATTATGCTCTTCCCCTCCCAGTAATTGGAATCTGTTTATTATGACTACTTGATCATTCAATTTTTTATTTTGCATATGAACAACAGTACGGACTAAACATTAATACCCACAAAACGAAACAAATGATTATCAGCAAGGAGAATATAAATGGGGCTCATATATACATTAATGGGACGCAGATAGAGCGAGTAAAACAGTATTGTTACCTGGGAACTATTATTAACGAACAGTGGAGCAATTTACAGGACATAAAGTGCCGCATAGGAAAGGCAAGAACGGTCTTTAACAAAATGAGCGCCATCTTGAAAAGTCAGAACATATCCCTTGATACAAAAATGAGAGACATTTGAGATGCTATGTTTTCTCTGTGTTGTTGTACGGGGCGGAGGCATGGACGCTTACAGACGCCACTATTAAAAAACTTGAAGCATTTGAGATGTGGCTTTATAGAAGAATGCTGAGAATATCATGGACAGCAAGGATCACGAACAAGGAAGTTCTAGGAAAAATGAAGACGGAACCAGAGATTGTGTTTACGATCAAACGTATAAAATTGCAATATCTGGGACACGTTATGAGAAATCAGCACCGTTACTCCCTACTACAGTCTATATTGCAAGGTAAAGTCAAAGGTAAGCGAGGACCCGGTAGAAGGAGAATATCATGGCTGCGGAATTTAAGAACACGGTTTAAGAAAACCTCAACGGAGCTGTTTCGAGCCGCAGCGAGCAAGGTTATGATTGCCAATATGATTTTCAACATCCGAAACGGATAGGAACCAGAAGAAGAAGAAGCGTATGAAGAGCTTCTATGCCCCATATTTCTCGTTGTTCTTGTTGCTTCAGCTTCTGTACTGATATTTCTTTTCTCAACTTAGATTTTACTAGAAAGTGATCACTATCTCTGTCTGCTTCTCTTATACTTCATGAATTAAAAATGCTACTAGAGTCTTTTGTATTAATAAGGAAATAATTTACTTGACTACGTATTCTTCCATTATTTAAAACACATGTGATCTTGTAAATGTCCTTTCTGTCAAATTGGGTGGTAAAATAGTAACAATCATGTTGCTAGATATTACAAATTGTGTTAGTTGGTATCCAATATCATTTTTTCTAGGCGATATTTACCAATTTCTTCTTCTTCTTGATGTGGCTATCTGTTACGAATGTTGGCGATCATCATGGCAATCTTTATCTTATCTGCAGCAGCGCAAAAAAGCTGCACAGATGTTGTATTGAACCAGATTCTGAGGTTCTTTAACCAAGATGTTCTTCTTCTTCCTGGACCTCGCTTTCCAAATATTTTTCCTTACAGGATGACTTCTCTTAAAAAGTCTTCCTTGACAATCACGAAGATTGTCACTCTTATCGCCCAATCATAAACAGATTTATTAACTAAATTGTCATTGACCTCCCGGTGGAAGATCGCTGCTAAATTGCAAAACACAAAGTGTATAAAAAGCAGCACATCTTTCATTCGGGATCTACTTGTCTGCATCACTAGCCGCTGCTAGACCTTGTTGACCGAGTGCCTTTACTACGATACTGCGTTTTATTTTTACCTAAGTGAACATTTCTTCAATCTAAGAA